CTCTGGAGGCTGAGGCAGGAGAATGCGCTTGAACCACGGGAGGCAGAGGCTGCAGTGACCAAGATCGAGATCCACCCACTGCACTTCAGGCCTGGGCGACAACAGTGAAACTCCACCTCAAAAAAAACAAAAGAAGTTGTACATACAACAATTATTAATTAATCTAAAGTGAAAAGCTGCAGAGGTGTCATGTGGGGCCACAGCTAATAACATCAGCTTGGAACGAAGCTGTTTTATATTTAGGAACAAAGGCACCTCAAAATGAGGTCTGAAGTGGAACTATAGTTACCTTAAATGCAACCTCCTCTGAAGTATCTGCCTTTCCCTCTAGTGCTTTATGTTGTCTTTCTCTAACAAGAAAACTATTCCCTCCACTAGTACTCTGGCAAGCTCATATTAATTCTCAGATTCTTTAAGAATCACCTTCTGTAGGAAGGCATCTTTTTTTTTTTTTTTTTTGAGATGGAGTCTCGCTGTGTCACTCAGACTGGAGTGCAGTGGTGCGGTCTCAGCTCACTGCAAACTCCGCCTCCCGGGTTCAAGCCATTCTCCTGCCTCAGCCTCCTGAGTAGCTGGGATTACAGGCGTACACCACCACGCCCGGCTAATTTTTTTCGTACTTTTAGTAGAGACGGGGTTTCGCCATGTTGGCCAGGCTGGTCTCGAACTCCTGCACTCAGGCGATCTGCCTGCCTCAGCCTCCCAGAGTGCTGGGATTACATGCGTGAGCCACCATGCCCGGCCTGAGATACTTAGTGATAAATGGATTCCTCTATTTCCTACAATTTCTGGTTTGATCTTGGTCTATATGTGAAAATAAACTGGGGGATATGTTGGAGAATCCAGATTGTCACATTTTATACATAACTTCTAACTAAAAGAAGAAAGAAAAGCCTAGATCCTAGCTTCGTATTTCTCACCCAGCTCCTGCAGTGGGGAAGACCTCTTCAGTGCATAAGGTGTCAGAGTCCACTCTATTAAGTAAATCTTTGAGAGCTACTAGGGCTTCAGCATCCACCAAGCCACCTGCAATTGCTGCCACATCTTTGCCTTGAAAACTCTGCAACTAGAAACAGATGAAAGGGCATCATCAAGAAACCTACATGCAGCAAAGACCACAGTGAAATAAATGTCAGAAATAAAAATCAGGTAATTGTTTCAATGTATAGAAAAAATAACAGACTTCTGATTAAAAAGGGTTATACAACCGGCACGCGGCCAGACCGACGGCTGGCTCATGCCGCGTGTGAATCCATGGGCACTTTGGCGAGGCTGAAATGGGGGGCAGTGCACCGTGCAGTTAGAGTTCGGCGAGACCAGCCTGGCGCCAACATGGGATAAAGGGTCCCGTCTCTAGCCGAATAATTACAAAATATAGCTAGCGTCGCGTCTTCGCAATGATGCCCTGTATTCCCAGCCTGCTCTGGAGCGCTGGAGGGCGTGGCTGGGTCGGGGGGGGGGGCGCCCCAGGAGAACTGGCGTTTGAACCACGGAAGCAGAGGCCCTTGCAGCCTGACCAAGATCGAGATCACGCCACTCTGCACTCAGCATGGGCGTACAACAGCGCTGGCAACACATCCCACCTCAAAAAAACAAAAGAAGTTATACAACACATTACTTAGATCTGTAAGTCTAAAGCCTGAAAAGCTGCGTGGCGGGGGCAGAGGTGTTCATGTGGGCCCACAGTGGCCCTAATGTAACATCAGGCCCTTGGAACGACAGCGGGTGTTTTAGTATTTAGGAACAAAGGCACCTCAAATGAGGGGGTCTG